TTTCCTTTAGTTAGCACATCCTATTAGATATTATGATCTGTCTTTGTTGACAGGACATGTACCACAGTCCTTCAAGGTAGCTGTAATTAAACCTCTTCTTTAAGAAACCTACTCTGCTCCAGAGGTGTTGGCTAACTACAGACCTATCTCTAATCTTCCCTTCCTCTCTAAGATCCTTGAGAAATCCGTCGCAAATCAATTATGTGACTTTCTACAAAACAATGCTTTGTTCGAGGATTTCCAGTCAGGATTTCGAGTGCATCACAGTACAGAAACAGCACTGGTGAAAATTACGAATGATCTTTTACTTGCATCGGACCAAGGACTCATCTCTTTTCTTGTCTTGCTGGACCTCAGTGCCGCATTTGATACCATAGACCATTGTATCCTGTTGCAGAGACTAGAACATTTAATTGGTATCAAAGGAACTGCACTCAGCTGGTTTAAATCCTACCTATCGGACCGATCCCAGTTTGTGCTTGTAAACGGTGAATCCTCAAAGACCACCAATGTTGGTCACGGAGTCCCACAAGGTTCTGTACTTGGACCGATCTTATTTACCCTCTATATGCTTCCTTTGGGCGATCTTATCAGGAAACACCGCATAAACTTCCATTGTTATGCAGACGATACTCAACTGTATCTGTCGATCAAGCCAGAAGAGACGGACCAGTTAGTTAGACTTCAAGAATGTCTTGGAGACATCAAAACTTGGATGACCGGCAACTTCCTGATGGTAACTCAGAAAAAACGGAAGTTATCCTGATAGGCCCAGAGCGCCTTGGAAGCCAGCTGTCACGTGATACAGTTTTTATGGATGGAATCGCTCTGGTACCCAGCAGCACCGTCAGGAATCTGGGAGTTCTCTTCGACCAGGATATGACCTTCAACTCGCATATAAAGAAGACTTCAAGGACTGCCTATTTTCATCTACGTAACATATCAAAAATCAGGAACTTCCTGTCTCAAAGTGATGCAGAAAAATTAGTTCATGTGTTTGTCACTTCCAGACTGGACTACTGTAATTCTTTGTTATCAGGCTGCTCTTGTAAATCTCTTAAGCCTCTCCAGTTGATTCAGAATGCTGCAGCACGTGTATTAACAAGAACTAAGAAAAGGGATCATATCACTCCTGTATTAACTTCTCTGCACTGGCTCCCTGTTAAATCAAGAATAGATTTTAAGGTACTTCTCCTCACCTACCAGGCACTTGCTGGTGAGGCACCGTTGTATCTTCAAGAGCTTGTAACACCGTATTGCCCTACAAGGCAACTGCGCTCCATAGATGCTGGGTTACTTGTTGTTCCTATGGTTTTAAAAAGTAGGCCGGGGGCCAGAGCCTTCAGTTATCAAGCTCCTCTTTTGTGGAACCAGGTTCCACTTTCAGTCCGGGGGGCAGATTCGGTCAGCTCTTTTAAAGTAAAACTTAAAACGTTCCTCTTTGATTCTGCCTATAGTTAGGGCTGGCTCAGGTTAGTCCGGACCAGCCCTTAGTTAAGCTGCTATAGGCTTAGAATGCCGGGGGAATTCTTAGGACACACCAAGCTCCTCTCTCACGCTCTCGTTCTACCATAATTCACGTTTTATTAATGCACATGACTAATTCAGCTTCTTTCCGGGAGTTTTTTTTGTGCTTTCTTCCCTATCAGGTCTCCGTAGATCGTGGTTCCTTCGGGACCCTGGTCCTGACACCTACCGTGGCCCTGCTGACGCCTGCTGCTGCCATCATCATCATCATTATTTTAGATATTAATCATATTACTTTACTCATAAACCGACATTACCCTCTCCTAAAATCTCTGTGCTCTCCCTCCCCACAGGCTTCTGTGGATGGTGGTTCTATGTGATGGTGGTTGCCCCTGCAGTGGTCCTGCTGTGCGCCTGGCTTACTACTCACAACTACTTCATTACTATCATTTCTGTCATAGGAATTGCATGTATTATACATTGTTCATTCTGTACACATGGCATCCATTGTAGTCTGTCCATCCCGGGAGTGGGATCCCTCCTCTAACGTTCTCCCTAAGGTTTCTTCCCTTTTTTCCCTCTTGTAAGGGTTTTTTCATTTTTTGGGGAGTTTTTCCTGTGCCGATGGTGGGTTTCGGGGCAGAGGATGTTGTATGTGTACAGACTGTAAAGCCCTCTGAGGCAAATTTGTAATTTGCGATAATGGGCTATACAAAATAAAATGACTTGACTTGACTTGACTCGTGAACAAGACCCCGAGGTACTTGAACTCCTTCACTTGGAGTAAGGACACATTCCCTACCTGGAGTAGGCAATCCATCGGTTTCCTGCTGAGAACCATGGCCTCAGATTTAGAGGTGCTGATCCTCATCCCGACCGCTTCACACTCGACTGCAAAACGCTCCAGTGAGAGTTGGAGGTCACAGACGGAAGATGCCATCAGGAACGTGGGGGAACCATATTTTCCATTTTAACTATAACTATATGTGGCTTATTGGAAATTACCTTCTGTAGCATATTTTGTAACTCTCCCCAAATTGTATGAACACCAGTGCAGATCAATGAGAAGCCACTAAATACATAACAGCGATATATCCATGTCATTCTACATTTTTGAACAATTCACGCTCTTAGCAAGCTCCAATATTCCTGCGTATGATTTTGAAGTCACCCAAACTCATAGTCACCTGCAGGCGCCATGATAATAGGATTGTCTGTCACACGCAGTAGGTTTTCTTGAGCTTTTCCAGTTGACCTGTCAATGGGGTTGTTCAAAATTAACTTTCAATTTAAGCTATAATTAATGGGACATATATTTAGAAACAGTGCCTCCATGACACTGTATTTTCACAAGGCCTGGAAACATACATTTTCCACTGTTGGAATGTTCCAGCATGGTTTTCTCCATGTTGTAAAATATTCCACGCGTGTGAAAGCATAGCTTGCTTGCTTGACACTTGCAGAGTTGCATGTGCGGACCTCCACCCAGCGTAGAAGCTAATAGGCTACAGGAGGTAGCGCTTTGGAAGGTGAGGAACTGTAACGGTGTACATTTCTTACAAAGGCCCCTAAAAACCAAATGAGCGATTTGGGGATCAGGACCCAGGCTCTTGGGTCGTGTCGGCCTTGTTGAGGGCAAACAGGGTCCATTTCTTTAATCCGCCTGTTTCTCAGTTCCTGATTCAGGTGAAGATTCAATATTTTCAAGTTTAGCTTTCAGTCATGAATGTTGCCGGACTGTGCAGCGTTGACAATCATTTAACGTATTTATCGTATGTAACGTGGCAGCGCCTCCTTCCCTGGTTTTCATTTTTTTAGCTTGTGTTTCTGCAGCACTCGTTTGACTTTTGCTAGCTAGTTTGTTCTTTGCACCGAATAGAAACCAAAGAATCCCTGCCTGCGTAACGTACAGCAGTACGAAACACGTACATTATAATATTGAGTCATAGAAATTCTCTTACTGTTTAAAAATAAATCCTGTTCTTCCACACAGCCGTACATGGTGAAATGATGCTGCTGATGACGATGCTTTGGAAATTGCACTGTACGGTACGCGAGTGGCCGTTGTTACTTTCTCTCTCGCTCTCCCTGCCGCCTCCACAGCGATGCGTGTTGCATTAACGCTGAGGTGAAGAGTGGGAGGTAGAGGGCAAACTGAGAGGGCTACGAGAGGGATGGAGAGAGCCAGAGAATGAAAAGTGTGCGGGGGAGACTGAAACGAGGGAAGATAGATGGATAGGTCCTTCCTTCCTTTCTCCCTCCCCTCCTTTGTTACCTAATTTCCAAAATGTCTGACGGTGATGATTTCCCTAGTGAACATACTCAGGTCAAACTAAATCCCAGAGGGAATAAGAGCATGCAGGAGAGAGAAGAATAGAACAATTGCAACTTAGAGGGATGAGGAGTGAAGGATGAGATGGAGAAAGAGAGAAAAGGGAAGCAGATGGAGAGGAGAAGTTTGTCTCCTTACAGCTCCAAAGCTCTTAAAGCCCCGAAGCTGTGTGGAGTGTAAATGGCAGAAGAGAAATAGATAGATAGACAGATAGATGGAGGACAGTGAGAGGTGGAGGGAGGCTGAATTGTGGAAAAGAAAAGCTAGAAGAACGAGAGAGGGAGAGAGAGAGAGAGAGAGAGAGAGAGTGGAAGGAAGAGGAGGGGGAGGAGGAGGAGGAGGGTTTGCGTTGGTGTGTTGGTTGGCAGAGAGAGCGCTTGTCAAAAAAACCTTCCTCTGACAGAAGGCATGATTCACAGTAGAGAGAGAGAGAGAGAGCGCAATAGGGGAGAGAAAGAGGGGGAGAGAAAGGGAGACAAGCGTCAGAAAGAAGGCGAAAAACGGCAGAGATAAAGAGAGAGAAACAACCGGGCAGAGATGGTAAGAAAAACACAATTTGAGGATGCTGATTTGAGGCGGAATGATCAGATGCTAACAGGATGGGACTGAGATCGACGGATTGGACTGACCGAAGCCTTAATGAATGTGACCATGTTGAAAAGGTTCTGGCTTTTCTATTGATCGGGGGGGAATAGAGCAGGTGGCAGCGGCAGTGATTAAAGCGAGAGAAAACGAGAAGGTGAGACAATGTTTAAGAATGAAGATAGAGAATGAGATAGAGAGAGCAGGAATGATTGTCAACTGTCAATAGGCTGGACTAATCTGAGAGGGAGGCTTTACTAATACGTGCAAATGAAACGGTTCTGACTGATACTACATTTGAGATTGATATCGGTTTGGGTACTTCAGGTCTACGGTGAAAAGTCTTCCTAAGATGTTTTTGAATGTCCATCTGTTTAACTGGAGTTTTAGACTTTTAACTTCTATTCCCCTCTGAACTGGTGAATTTAGTCTGTGTCGTCGCAACGTTACAGGCCAGTGGGGGAAGCCATGCTTCTGTGGTCAAAATTGGTTTGAAATCTTTTTTTCTTCCTTAAGACGTTGGGGACTTCCTGTAGGCTAATGCTTAGAGCTAATCAATATTCTAAGTACTGTTGGTGTCTGCCACAAAGTGGAGTTAGAGGGCTAGCTGCTGCAGGTGGACCAGTTTAATTAAATCAAGGCAGGAATGTCCACATCAATCCAAATCGCCATATGTGTATTGCTGTGACATGTTGAATTTTTCCTCTTTTGATTTCTCGTATTGATGGAGTGAACATCTCTGAATGCATATTGACGTCATCTTGACTTTATATTTGGCACCAAATTTGCAAGCAGCTTCAAGGCTGCTTGGTGCAAGCTGTCGTATTTGCATCCCCCAAATTCCAAATGCTTGCAGAGTTTGGGTTTTTTAATCTTTTGTTGTGTAACTTTGGACTAGTGTTGCTATGTTTTATGATCTTGGACAAGACCAAAGGCATTTCTAAACAAGGGCTTCATTTTCTGGCTTGTTTTGAAGCTCATCTTGAGGATTAAAAATGTTACATGAAGCACATTTGAGATTTGTAATAGTGATCTCTGAATAGTTTTCTACCATCTAGATTGTGAGAACTGGGTATCATCAAAGATACATGTGTTAACATTTTTTTTTGTAATCTTTCCAAATAGGCCAACAGTTCCTCACTCCGTGTTCAGCCTGTCCTTTAAAGAAAAACATATAAAATTGTACTGACAAGCGAAGTCACTTCAAATGACAAAAAGTGAATTCCTTTTGAGTCAAAAAAAGATCCATGTAGTTGTGCCATTAATATTATTAGTAACCCATTATAGGCCAGAGAACACTGTAACAGGACACTGATGACATCATCAGTAGTTCTTCTTGTACATTTTAACCCAAGCTACGTTTTTGGAGTGTGTGCACGGCCTGCCTCTTTATTTTTGAAATGTTAACTAATATCTTAATAATGACTAGTCTGGCATTAATATTTATGGGGAGATTTTTTTCAAGCTGCCACAGATCTTTTGTTGTTTGCTTTGTTTTCCACAGATAAATGAAAGACAATGAAAATCAACAAACAAAGCCAGGATAAGGGGAGAAGCTTTGACTTGATTCAATACTCCATCCACTGCACCCGCTTTGTGTCTGACTAAGGCTCCTCTGGATAAAGACTTAATTGGCCCTGAAAGGACAGCCAGAACTATAAACAACCAGAATTAATACAAATTCAGCCATGCTTGGAAGAGAGTAACCCTGGAACAGTAACCCTGTGGACACACAAATGGATTTCGTCTTGTATTTTCATGGTTTCTTCAACATATTTTTGGAATAATTTGATTTGGACATTATTTTGTTTTTATGTTATGGAGAAGTTTTTTTTACTACTTTGATCACAAGATTGTCCTGACTCAAATAAGCCAAGAAAGAACAAGCAAAGATTTTGAATATGACATTTGACATTTTTCATCTCTGCCATTGCCCCCTCAAAGCCAGCTGCCATGCATCTGGCAAATTCTGAATTTTGTCTTACAAGCACATTTTTTTTTCAAAATCAGTGAAATTACCAAATTCACAATTCACTCTTCAAACTACAGTCGCGTCTCCCACCAACCCTTCCCACCATCAGCCATCCGACCAATCATGGGCAAGCCTCTTAGCCGTCCCGGGTGTTTCAGGAAAAGCTCCTGCTGCCTGGAGAAACCTGGGGATGGGGGAGTGGGAGGGAGAGCTGGGGGACTGGAAGGAGGATATGGAGATGGCTACGTACCCCAACGATCCATCTACGATACCATGTGCATCAATCAACAGATTGACAGCCATCACCATCACCCTGGAGGGTCCACTAGAAGAGACATTGGAGGGCAGGGGAGTTTTAGCTACTCTGCAAGCGGCTCCCTTAGGGTTAGCAGGTCTCCAGCTGACATGTTTGATCCGCAGCCCCGCTCTCTAACTCCTAACCCCTCATTTGTTCGACGACTAGATGAAAGAGCTATCTATGATTCATTGAAGCTTGGCGCTCAAGATGTCGATGGTGGTGGCTGCCATTCACCGGGATGTTTCAACCGATCAGTTTCTCCCTCCGTGTCATCATTCTCAGCACCTGGAGTGTCTTCTTCCTCATCCAAGAAACATCACCATCAGCAACACCATCAGCAACACCATCATCACCATGGAGAAAGTACAAAGAGCAGAGATGGCCGACATTCCTGGAAGGTCTTGACACCTCCGAAACACTTGGAATGTCTTGAGCTTACTACAAACGAAATGATAGACAGGGGAGGAGGGTATCTGAACCCCGGGCAATATCCTCCCCCTGGGGGCCAGTCCTCCTCTCTTACCTCCCCTCTCATTTCCCCCTTCTCAGGCTCACCCCTCTCTTCGGGTTACCATACTCCAGTGTTTTTCTCCCCTGCCAAACCTCGCCCCAGTCAGTCTCAGAGTTTGCGATGTTCACCTCCCCAAATCACTCAGCCGAGGCATTATTCCCAAACACAGAGCCTTAGACTGTCCCCCCCTCAGGAGCTTCGACGATCTCCCTACCGTGCCCCTCTGGTCCAATTGTCTGCTCATGACCTCGAGCAGGACATGAGGGAACGAGGAGGAGGATGGGGCCGCAGTGAGCGAGAAAGGGATTGGGAGAGGGAGAGAGAAAGAGAGATGGAGCGAGGGTGGGCCCAGCGTGAATGGGAAAGAGAGAGGGAGAGGGGGAGGCTAGAGAGAGAGAAGGCAAGAGAAAGGGAGAGGAGAGAAACATCTAGCTTTGGGACCTTTGGATATGGTCGACCAGTTCCATTGCGTTTAGACAGAGACTCTGTGTTTTTAGAGTCTGACCAGGTTCTAGACACAACACCCTTGTTGCTGCCCCACCCCTCACCCTCCCCCAATAATGCCCCCAGAATGGGCACGGGCGCTGTTGGTAGGAATCGAGCCAGCTCCAAGGTGGGCCCAGAAATTGGAGGTGGAGGTGTGGTTTCAAAGTTTGACAATGGTAATGTGGGTTTGGTGTTAGTTGATAGCAGATCTGGGTGTGGGCCAAGGTTAATAAGTGAGGTTGCAATTGGAAACATGTCAGAGGCTGAAATCAGAGGTGGAATACAAGAACACCACAGAGTTGAAAACTGGAACAAATATGACAATGGTTCTAGGACTAAAAATGAGTCCGAAACAAGAATGGGTTCCCAGATGAAAACAGGACCAGGGGGACGGGATCTGGAAGGAAAAGTGCAGTCTGGTATTGGGATAGAAAATACCTCTCCAATTGTGAACAAGGAGGGACACAGGGGAGGAACAAGAACTGGAGAAAAAAGTGTAAGGGGTGTGGCTAAGCCAGAAGCTTTTGAGACAGTACCTTCAACTGTGAATGACACAGAGAACAGGGTTGAGTCTGCTGGGGATAAAGTTGAGGTTGAAGATGAACCTGGTCCGGGGGTGAAGCCAGAGATTGAGGCAGTGGTTGAGGCCAAAGCCAGCACAAGGCAGGTGGAGAACAGGAATGGAACAGAAGCAGGAGGTGAAGCTTCGGTTACAAATGAGGATGGTTCAGGAGCACACTCAAGAATGAACGAAAACAGAAGTTATGATTGCCCCTATATCTAAGCTTGAAGTACTTGTTGATGGTAATGAAACAGAGACTAATAGTAACACTAAGACTGTGATTGTCAGCAAAACTCAGAACAGCAACAAGACTACAGATAACGCCCAGATAAGTACTGTCACTGGGGGAAAAACAGATATTGTCCCCGCAGATCAGATTGAGAAAAATCCTTTAGACATTGACAGAACTGAATCTAGACATGTAGAGAAAGGTTCCAGGTCCCACAAGTCCAAACCATCCAAATCCAGCTCTAGATCTCGGCCTGGCACAGCCACAGGACTCCAACCAGGTGTGGTCAGCCCTCACCCAAGTAGAGGCTTTGCAGACCTTGAGTCAACGGGCCCTGCGGAGGGCATTGAGTCCACCTGGCCTCGCCGAATCATGGTCAGAAAGAGGACTGTACGGCAGGGCGGGGCACTCCACAACCTGCCCATTCTCCCCCCACTCCCTTCTGTCCTCTCAGCATTGGAGAAAAGACGCCCACATGGTCACCTCCAGTCTCGTACAGGCCACTTCTCAGAGAACCCGCTAACAACCATTACGAATGCTTCAAGTATGATGGGACGATGCTCACTGAAAGAGCCCTCTCATCCAGAGTTAGGACTGGGGGCCAGTGTTATTGGCCGGGCTTCCCTGAAGGAGCAAAACCTGGAGCACTGGAGAATCTGCAGAGAGCAGGAAGAACCCAGAAGATCCAGGAGCAGGGAGAAGACTGAGATAGAGGAGAGGGTGGGTAAGGAAGAGAAGCCAGACAAGACCATGAGAGAAGAGATAGTGAAAAGGGAAGAAAAAGTGGACACGGAGAAAGACAGGGCTACCATCAGTGAAGGCCTTGTTGAGGAAACCAAAAGAGAAAACTCAGAAACAAGGGTTAAAGGGAAGGGGCAAGAGGCTGAAAACCTAAAGCAAGATGTGAAAAAGGCAAGAGATGTAAAAATGATAGCGGGGAAAGTGGACGTTAGAGGAATGAAGACTATGGATGAAATACAAGAGCGGCATGTTAAAGAGTTGGAAAAGGTGGTAGCTAAAACAAAAAAAGAGGAAAGCCAAATGGAGGAGGAAGAAGGAGGTACATTTGAGGAAGAAGGGGGAGTGGAGGTTTGGGACACCGTCCTTGATATGGTCAACACTTTGTGGGAGGAGGGCTGGGAGAAAGGGGAAGAGGGCGCAGTTGGCGATGCAGATTCTTTCTCGGGATCCCTGCAACGTTGGCCTCTTCTCCGACCACCAATTGGCTTTGGGGGCTCCCACCCCCCTTCATCAGCAGCCTCGGAGCTCAGCCTGTTAGAGTTGGAAAGAAGAGCCAGGGAGCTGGACTCTGACCTGGAGCATCTTGACCTGTCTCAGCCCCACAGAGACCTTCAGATTGCACACCAATCCCTGCTGGAGCCACAGAGGGAGCGAGCCGACATGTACCAAACACACCCTGGGCCGCAGAGGGAAAAAGCTGCTCCCACCACAGGTAGACAGTTGTTGCATTATTATCAATTATGATTGATTTCCTTTTATCCATTTTTTAATCCATTTTTTTCAGTCAGAATAACAAACCGGAATATAATATAAACTGTTTAAAATGTTTAAATGGAGCTTGATTAATGAATGAATTGCTCAATAACAATAAACTTAACAATAAATTTCAGATTACATGTCATTGTAATTTACATTGGTCAATATTACATACCAAACCAGAGTGCTTAAAATATAAACATGGTACTTCCATAGAGAAACATTTCACGTTAATGCACAACTAGTCCATATGAAGCTTATTTATTTTGTTTGTTTATTGTTGGGGATTAGAGGAGTGTTGTCCGATCTCGCATTTTTGAGCATATTACATAGATTAGGATACTTACTTGTTTGTTACTGTAAATGGCAAAGGAATGCTCTTAGAATGTTTGTCACTTTCTTAATACGGCAACAAATAGAATTGGACAAATGTTGTCTAGAGTCACTGGAGGTTATTATCACCTTTATGGTGTTGATTGTGTACTATATATTCCAGCGGCGGTGAGCAGAAGCCGGGTGACTTTGGAGCTCACTGGTACGGCCTCACCGGCAACAGACGCAGACCGACCTCCTGTTCACTGCTCGGCCAATTCTCCTGGGACTTCCACTGTTGGCATAAGGTAGTTCCATGATTTTGTTCAGCATTGATATTGAACTGTTCTCCACCACATATTGAAAAAGAAATAAAAATAGAAATATCCGGCAGTTTTTTACATTTTAATTTGATACTAAAGGTGTATCAAACTGGTGCAAGATTAAAAATAATAATAATTATACTATACATTTATATTTACTGACGTACAGGTCGGTTCAGCAAATATATGGTATATATTTTGGAATATATTCACAGCTTTTTTTTAGGAAACTACCATTGATAATTTAATTTATAATTTTCTTGTCTTCATGTTATTTTCTATATACTAAATCAATGAAATATTTCAACATCCAATTTGGACTTGCGGCTTTGTACCTTGAAGATTTCTTCTTTTAAAATGAACTATTCTAAATGTTAGTTGCTGTCAGTGTTTTAAATTTTAAAATGCTCGAGGCCCACCCCATGGGATCAATACATCTGAACAGGACCAGTGAATGAATGAATTAGAAAATAAAGATGGTAAACATTCTTGATCAGTCCTGGAAATCGATTGACTAATGAAAATGGCATAGATGGATGTACAAGGTTCAAAATGTAACAATGCAACAATTTGAATGCTGCAATTTGTTTAAGATGGGTTCAGCAATTCTGTAGAGAGATTGTTGATACAGTGGAAACTACATACAATGAGCACTTCTCTCAAGGTTTAATCGATCTCTAAAAACTGATAATTATTATAACCATTGTTTTTGTTATTATTTTGTTATCTTAGTATATTTTTGGACATGAATAAGCAGTAAAGAAAGAGACAGCTCAACAAGGGCTCGCTTTGGGGGAGCCTCGCTGCTCTTTGGGCAGCTGTGTGTCAGTCCAGCGCGGGTGGTGCATGCAGATGAACTGCTCCCCCTGGCTGGAGTTTCACTTTAGGGGCATTGTGTGACCAGGCCTCATCAATCCACTTGATGAAGTCAGCTTCATCCACAGGCGTTTTCACAGGGCCTATTCATTTTTCCTGTAGAACAAATGACTTACTTTTCCCCGTTGTGAGGTGCACGCCGCGCCAGCCTCAGGTGACCATCAAGAAGCAGACGAGTTACTGAGAGACAGAGGAAGTATCAAGGGAGTCAAGTAAATAATGAAACAGAAAAAAATAATCATATTTAGCCCAGAGGGGTTTAAAAATGTTTTTGCATTGTTTGTCGTTTTTGTTGAAGTGCACTTCTCGATTGTTATTAATGAATAATTAGAACATCATTTCTATTGGTGTGATTTCTTTCAAGATTTTGGATTGACACAGGCGGTTGATTTCAGTGAGCTGTTTACTCTCTATTTAAACTCCCACTGCCTTTACATATTTCCCCCCTGCCCTCATGCCCCATTTTCTTGATTGGCAGTAAAAGTGTTGTGTGGCTTGGTCCGAGTCCCTTTGTTTGTTACCCATTTACAGCCTGGGCTGTGTATGAACACCGGATTTATTGTCAGCTCACACAAAGCACTGACAGCTACCAGACTGTGACTGGATATTTGCTGATTTTGACAAAATGTGTGCTGGATTTGTGATCAGTGCGTACATGTGGGTAATGCATCGGGAGAACATTCATACGTTTCTTACAATGGACTACCAAAAGCTTTATGTTATTATTTGATTGCTCTCTTTTTGTTGGTTATTACTACTATCTGAAAGTGGTAGAACACAGTGTGCCCATAGTCTAACAACAGGCACATGTGTTACATGAGAGCAGGGCAGTGTTGATGAGCTGCTAGAGGAAGGAAAGTTGTGCTTTTTCCAAGATTTGTTTGGTTTATTGGCCACGAGAGGCAGTATGAACCAAGAAAGACTGTATGTCGTAATCCTGTTTCAATAATCTAAACCATTATACCATTTATGGAAGTCCTGAATGCTGTGTACATTCCTTCTAGTCCACGTGATCCATGTTAAATACAGACTGTATTCTCTAACGTCCAGTGGCAGCTGGTGGAAACTGTTCTAGCTAAGGCAATCAAATCAATTTCAGCAAATATTCCACGCTGATTTAATGCAAGACAAAAACACATACTTTACAATTAAATATTTCATATTTATTCCAACATGTGCTGTCTAACTGTAGGTTCAATTTGATTTTCATCAAAAGAAGTAGATGTGAAAGTAACACAAACTCAGGTAATGTAGAGGGCTAATGTTCCATATCGATTTGTCCATCATCAATGGGTTAGTATTCAAATCAGAGGACTTTCAGGATCTGCCGTGCTGTGCGTGACTTATGACAAGTCGGAAGGCATCAGTGATAAGAAGTGATAGAGAGAGGTCCTTAGAAGTCAGGTGGATGTAGCAGTCATTTGACGGCTTTGTCTTTTTTCTAGCTCCACTAAGGAAGACAGCTCTCCAGACTCCAACCTCACGCTGGAGTCCGACTCCAGTGGCGTCTTCCTCTCCTTATCCAACCAGAGCCAGGAGGAGGCCGGCTACGACAGCGACCAGCCGATCAGCGGCTCTGACCTGGGCAGCAGCAGCACGTCGCTGGAGAAAGACGTGGACGATGTGGGGCTGAAGGAGTGGGGGAGGGAGGAGAGTGCTGAGCTACAGTGGTGCTACCCGTCACTTCTCAACACACCTGCGCACGAGGACCTAGGAAGTGAAGGCAGCAGAGAGGAGACAAGGAGTGGACAGACGGGGAGAGATAGAGACAGAGGGAAGGAGGAGAGTGGAAAGAGGGCTGGTAAGATAGGAACGGTTTCAATCATTAGGACTCAACTGGACCAAACAAACATGGAGGGCTCCATCGCTTTCAATGCTACACAAAGTGCAGAGGCACCACCCAGAAGAAAGGTGACCCTCATGGGAAGTGACTTCCCTCTTCCCATGTCTCCCACGAAACCAACCATCAAAAACCTTCTTGATCCCTATCAGAAGCCAATTAGAAGCTCAGGACTGGACTGCGGCGACATAGATCCCTTTGTCCAATCGGACAGCTTTGTTTACCTTGCTGTGTCAGCAAGACCTGCCTCACTGGGGGAAGTCGGCACAATTGCAGAAGTCCCCACTCTCGGTATAAAACAGGACATTGCGCAGCTACATTCGGAAAGCATGAAAGCACACCTGGACCAGTCAAATACACAATGGAACGCCAAGCCGACTTGTCTCGCCCCTCAAAAACATGAGGAAGGAGACTTTTTGTGCACCGACAGCTTTGTCTACCTGGCTGCTCCAGCCTGCCACCTACTGGGCCCTGCAGGAACCGCACCGTACAGCGGCAGGTAGGTCTATTTGTTTGTGTCGTGGGTTCACTGTAGCACTAGTGCATTACATGTTTGTAATTCAGTAATGGGGTCCAAGAAAAAACAGAATTTTAAAGCCGTTTTATTATTTTAGCCCACATGCATTTCTTCTCGGCTTACTCCGCCCCAAGTCGCTGAGGCATTCGGCTAGTAAGTAAGTTAGGTAGCCCAGACATCTCTCTCCCTAGCCAAGTCTTCCAGCTTTCCCTGAGGGAAACAAGAAAGAAATGGGATCCCTCCAGTGTGCTCTGGTTATTCCACAGGGACTTGTGCCTGGATTACTTTCAAAGCAGGCTTCATGGACTATCAAGTATCAAGATGCCAATGGTAGGGTAGGGTATACGATGAGATAACAGCTACATTACATGTCATTTAGCTGACGCTTACAATTTTGCCCGAGGAGCAATTAGGGGTTAGGTGTCTTGCTCAGGGACACTTCGACATGAGGCAGCTGGGACTCAAACCACCAACCTTGCGGTTCCCAGCGCACCCTCTCTACCTCTGCGCCACGACGACCCATACTACTGCAAAGGGGGACCAAAAAGATCTCTACAGCCCCCTTGTTGCAGCATAGGTGCCTGGATTACCTGCACAGGAGCACATGTCTTATCTGTCCGTTGTGTGTAAACATTTCACCCCAGCCGCCATGAGGGCAATTTTGGAGGTTCTGTTTTTGGTGAGGGAGTAGCAGAGAATTGACTTAAGGATGTCAGTGTAGACGTGCAGAATCATTGAGTTGATGTTCACCTCCCAGTTGAGGTTTATGGGCTATGAATGTATTCATAAAGATATAACAGTTAGTTGTTGTGTCTTTCTAGCCCAATAGCAACCTAGATGCCATCTTAGAAGCTAGATGGCATTGGCGCTAACAAGCTGTGGCTGCGCATGGCAATCCTCACCCATCACTACTCCGTAGCTTCTGACTTCAGATAACATCAAGAGCGCAAGATGACATCTCAGGTGTCATAGATGAAGAAGTGGAGACGTGTTGTCTATCCATGGCACGGTCTGGTTTGGATGAAAGAGAAGAGGCAATGGAGCAGATATCTCAGGCACTTATTTAGAGTAAACACACACACGCAGGAGTGGACGATTGCTTCGTGGCATACAGTACGATACATCTGCTCTGTTTTCTGGGAGGCAGCACTGATGTTGCTACGTTACGCTACGTAGGCCCACACTATTTACTGTTATTACAGACATTCACCTAGATGAATGGATTACATTTAATTATCATTAAACACATTTTTATATGCTAATTGTGACAAATATGACGGGATGAAATAATAGGTTGATAACATTTTGGACAGACATTAATGTCAACTTTAACTTAGTTGGCTGATGGATGAGTAGGTAATTGTTGTTAAAATTTGACTGATCACCTGGTGCAATAATTTATATAATGAATAAACACATTCCCAACAGAACAGAATAAATCCCGCAAATGCTGGAAATTAAGTTTTAGATTTTTTAAAACCTTTATTGAGAAACCACCTCTCGTTTCCTTTGAAAAGGATTTTCGTTTGTCTGATTTCCTCTAGTATTTAAAAATTGTTTGTGACATTGTTCAGATTTGATTTGACATTTACCACCATTCTAATATAAAAATGAAGACACCTAGAACTAGTTTTGAATTGTTGAGCTTGTCGATGCCTGTGATTACTTTGATCGTGGCGATCCATATTACTGTCGATCGGTACTTTCACCCAGATTCTGTCTATTGTGTTCTTCCAGGGAGTCCGACTCGGAGAGTTCGGGATCCGGACCTGTTGATATGTCATTACTGGGTTGTGGCTCGGTGGCAGGGGACAGTGACTGGGATTCAGACCTTTCCGACTCGGATCCGAGTCGCTCCTCCAGGCTCTCTGCCGCTGGGAACAAAGCTTCCGTGGCGCGATCCAAGCGGATGCCTGCTGAGCCGGGCTGGGACTTGTTTGGAGAAACCACTGAAGCCGAAGTGCTGACTGAGCTCTTCACGGAACAGAACAAAAACAACAACGGCAAAGCAAGGAAGGTCACCGGGGTCGGTGCCGGCCTGGAAGACACAGCAGCCGTTCCTGTGGCAACGGAACATGTCACTACGCCGGTGAAACGGGCGACATCAGCAGAGCATTCGTCGACAGCAAAGAAGGTGACTTGGCAGTTTCGACCAGCCCAGAGGTCCGTCTGCACAGGAAGCAGGAAGGATAAAGAGAAGGAAGTGACATCATTATCATTGGTAGGGTTAACAGAACTGAGTGGCGGCGAGACCAATAGACCTTCATCCTCATCGTCTTCATCCTCATCGTCATCTTCCTCGGGGTGATTTGTGAAATTTTTTTTGTGCAACCATTTTGGAAAAGCTTCTTTGGAGGAGTCTTCTACCTGAAGCTTAGTTTATTGCCGAAAGATGAAGAAGAAGAGAAAACAACTGGAACAACAAAAAACATGTTGCCTCCTGCAATTGCCTTCTTCTGACAAACTAACTGCATAAAAGACTAGTTAATTGTTGCATTTTCTTACACTGACCTCCACAATGTGATCGGTTCAAAGTAATTGTCTGATTGTATTTGAATTATTATCGGCTCAGTCGCTGTCTGTTGACAGATGAGCCCACCCAGTGCTGACAGCCCTTGAATTTGCCTCATTACAAACTGGGAGTCTGTGGTGACACTTCCTGGAAAAATCCCCCAAAAAACACGATTTTGAAATTTGAGAAGTGAGAACCAAAAACCGACCTTCATTGATTGCCACACAGGCGTTGCCACGTGAAATCGAATGGGAGCTCTTGGAGATTGTACATTTGAGACTCAGGCAAAACACAAAGGTTGAGATTGTGTGAAAATGCGACCTTTGACACTTGGTAAGATGTGCACTGTCATTCTTCAGGGGTTTTAACAAAAGAAACACAGGGTTGATTTATTCCAAACATATTCACATTATTCTCTATCTAAATAAGAAATATGAATAGTTCTTTGATTGTTTTTTTTACTCTATTGAATGTACTGCACAGGATATACACAACGACAAAGAAATATCCACCTTAAAACGTAGTTAAACAAGGATTCTGAATGATTTCACGCTGTCATCTGTATTTAAAACAAATACTACAATGCATGAATTCAGTTATCATAAACCCAAAAAATTCTGTTTGAAAAAAAAGTATTTTCTGTGGGACACGGCTATTGCGTTATCTATTTATAAAGATTTAACAATGTAAATGTGTCTCAGGCCTTATATCAAATTACACTTCCTTCCCAATGTAATGCCTCTCTTTGATACCTAATCCTCCCAATTCACATATTCTTTAAAAAAAATTAAAAAGGTTGAACTTTAAAGTTTATAATGTATTTTATAATTACATACAACTTTTAAGAGCATTTAACAGCGTGTCAATAGTATATTTTGAAACATTGAGGGTTAGGGTTAGGGTTGATGATTATATAATATATAGATATGGAAATATTTAGTAATAACATTTAATTAAGATAAATTGTTTTATTTATCATTTTCAATTTTAAAATATGAATGTAATAATTGAGCAATATGCTTAAGATTGATGCTATATTCTCTGTTTCATAAGTGGAAAGTGTTGCCAGTGGTGTGTATAGAAATGGCTGAGTTTTTTGTGTTTATACAGCCAAATACTAGTTGTAAAAGCTTGTTTTGAGGTTCCACTTGTTGAGTTTTTATTATTATCTTTATCATCAGGTAGCTTGGTAAAATTGCCATAAACAATGAGATGGCGGTTTAGATGATTGATCGCCTTGGTTTCACGCCTGAGGTATTTTTAGTGCTGGTGACTTAATCTCCCGTAATTCCATTTGCATAGTCTCGGATCCTCGCCTCTGTGGCATCTTTGGCTTTGGTGGAGAGGATGAACATGCTGGAGATGTGGGGTTTTGTTCTTAACATTTGCTCTCACTCCCATCCACCATTTGTCACAGAGAGAAACATTGGCAGATTTAGATCTGTTTGTGTGGAAAGGGAAACAATCTTGAAGTCTTTTCAGTCTTTTCTATAAATCCATGTCAGGTGTACAAATATAAAGTGCAGTGTGGAGGCTGGTCGGGCTGCCAATCATCTCAGCAGTGGATTAGTTGTTAAGTCATCATGCTAATGTCTCAAAATGTCACCGTGGTCACCGTCTACTGATGTTAATTCTGACACATTCAGACACCTTTAATTTAAGAGAGCTATTGTTTGATATCCTATAGCAAATGTGACAAAGGGAACAGCAGGTTGACGAAGCATTGTCATTTACCACCTGATCTCCAAAACCTGTTCGTAAAAATGTACATGAAATATTTGACATAGAAATTCGTAACAATACATACTAACTGGCGGTGGTTAACCACGCCCCTTGAGTGAACGTCTCTCCGCCATGTTGGATTCTTGAGTGAACGTCTCTCCGCCATGTTGGATTTTTTCAGGGGGTTAGGGTTAGTAATGTATTCTTACAATTTAACATTGATTTCTCGTTAAAAATGCAATCATAACAGGTTTATTTTACATCGTTAGACTTCACAAAGGGTGTTTACGGGGCGCAGGTCCCCATTCACTTTGAACAGGGTGACGTCATCAGTTGCAGTCCGTATTTATTTAGTATGTATCACTACGAATTTGTATCTTCAAGATTTTCGTATACATTTTTACGAACAGGTTTTGGAGATCAGGCTGCATTTACACAATAATACTTATTGTTACAATATATTATGAAAGACTGTATATGGCAAGAACATTGCTTTGGATGCAGGTGTCGTTGCGCTATTTTAAATATTCCTTTTTCACCTTCGACAGAGAATTAAGACAAAATCCAAGCCAACATTTCAGGATTTCAGGGTGAATATCTGTTGAGGGTATGACACTACCATTACTGGGGTAAAATATCTGTGGGGCGGGGGGGAGTTTATTGTTTTTTCCACAAAGTGAGAACATTTGGCTGCCATTCTAAACATTAAAATGCTCTGCCATTACTTAAAGCAATGGGATTTGTTGGTGCCCCCAGGTATGTTATTTGGAGGGATTTACTAACTCATCCAACAACTGGCTTTTTAGAAACTGCATAAAATAAACACCTGCATGTCGTTTGCACAGTGTTCATCCACACCTGCCAACTGGCCTTGGTATCGACTGATGAAATACATTTTGCATCTCAAAATGAGTTCATAAAGCAGGACCTGCATAATGTGATATTCTACTCAACTGATCCCAACCAATCTGCAAATCAATCAAATTACCAAAGACCTTTCATCTATGGTGAATCTGGAACTTTTGAGGCCTCGGTTCATTTTCTTGCTTGTTTTTAATCCAGTCTTACATTTTGGGAATTGTTGAAATACTAGAATTTTGAAAAAACATGGTCCAATGATCTCTTACTTGGAAGTGGCCAGTTTGGACACATTCCACCCACATTGCACAGAAGAGCAACATAAAGGCACGCGGCGGGTGTAGTTGTTTATCTCCTCCTTGTTGTTCTATATGAAGGCTTGCATTGGAACTTGGCTGTAGATCAAGTTTAGAAGACCAGAGTTATGGCCTGCAGCTCCACTGTTGGGTTCCCGGGCAGCTTCTTGGTGGGTCTCTGCCAGCTCTGGCATCTCCGAGGGATCGGATATGGAGAGCCGTGCTGCTTGTTTGAAGCAGGCTGCTTCTTGTTGCAAATGGGACGGGCCATGGCATGTATAAAACTACCTGGTAGTCCACGCTGCATATTATGTCACAACCACAGTTTTCATGACAATGTTCACTAAGTATATTCTGTGCGGGATTATTTCTATTATATATTAAACAGTTGGCACTAGGCTGCATAGCACTTGAAAACGTGGCTTCTGTTGGAATAAGGACACCCAGTATTCTCTAACCACGCTGCTTTACATGTCTGCTAGATGGAATGTTTCGCTAAGTAAACTTTGAAGCTCACACAGTGGACCAAAGCTGTGTGTGTTATTTATCGTCAATGAAATAATTTCTGCTCGCGTTAAACTGTGACAAGGCATCTAGTTACACTGTGAAATCTTAAGGATACTGTACACCTTCACTGACTTTTGTCAAATTCACTAATATCAGGCCGTACGCGTAATACTTTGCTGTTCATGTACACGCTGATCACTGTTAAAGCTTAGTGATGATAAGGAACTCAGACCTGAGAGGACTTTTTAGTGGATAACGCTGATTTATGTGAAATCTTATTGTGTGCCGTATTCCCAAGCCTTGTTGAAATGCATCAATGTGCAAATAAAGACTAAGCTTGATGGTGGAATGTGACTCAGTATGGCCTGTTGGTGTCTTTCTCCGCTGTCTTAACCCTGCATGGTCGTCAGTCAATAGACCCTTTCACAGCCGACGTCATCAATAATATGTGTGCACATGTTAGCCGCAGATGTGGCCGTTTGTTCCGCCGTCCCGGAAAAATAATCAAGCAGTCAAATGAAAGCATAAACCGTCAAATGTCTAGTTGTTGAATGTGCAAACAGGATCACGACCCTTTCAGAGCAACGCGGGTTCCAGTTAAATTAGTGGTCGTGATGACTGGTGACTTCCAGCCGAATGCGTCGCCACCCCCCCACCAAGACACCGATATGGGAGGTCACTTTGTTATGGTTTCATCCACTGTGTTTGGTGGTTAATTTCCCTGCATAGCTTGACGAGCTACTGGACTACAATGTGAGAAGTGCTTGGGTCACCATACTCCACTTTATACTGTAGGTCAAGAGAATCCGGTCAATTTTCGAAATAAAATATATTTTTCAGAAAAAAAAGTTGAAATGAAAATATGGGTTGTGAGGTGACAATATTTGTTTTACTGCTGGTTAAACCGGCCAAAGAGGACAAAAACTGTAATGTACCCTAAATTCTTAAAATTGTGGCAGATTTGTAATATAAAAAGATAATTCAATTCAACCTGGTTCCTACCTGCAGCAAATGAGAGGGAACTTTTGCTCTTTTTTGTTCAATGAGGGATCATTTGCAGCCTTTCAGGTGAGCTCCTATTCAGTTGTACCTACACATAAATCTAAACTGTTCCCTAACAACCGTCTGACTGCTCATGTTTCTGGGTTGTTTTACAGATCTCAAAAATTGCTGAGGTGAGTAAAATAATTCCAAAACCTATTCAGAAATGTTGTGAAGGATAATTGCAAAACGTCAGTTATTATGAACTGAAATTATCCTTTATAATTATCAAAAGAAACAATAGTTAATCGGATTACCAATAAAAGAAAGTCTTCATTTTTAAAGGTACTGTGATGCCATTGGCAATGATCTGTTTAATCCCTCAATCCTTGAAAAATAGACAATACATTGTGGTTACCATGGTTACAATGGTTTGAATGTTTTTTTCTGCAATTACAGTATAACAGAAACACACACACACAAACACACACAGAAGTACACACAGCCTGCGGTGCCATCTGTGTATTAAATTGTACATGGTGTATGGGCGGTTGTGTTTCGTCAGTTATGTAGGTCTTTCTATCTATTTCAGGCTGATTAATTAGAGCACTTTGAATAAGGCCAGAGAGAAAGAGAGAGACCACCTTTATGAATAGTTAATTTATGTGCCAGTTCCACAGACACCACAGGGACTGGGGTGATTTATTGGGCCAGATGACAGTCTGTTTGTCACACAATCTGTAAAAATATGCGAACAGATTTACATTAAATCTTGAACAAATTTGAACAAACTTTCTGGGATCAGAGCAGTCTGAGAATGGGAGAATGAAATTAAAGTATTCTGCTGAAATATAGATTTACAGGCTGTTGTTGGTTCTTCACTCCCCTCACAGGACCAAAACATATCACGGACTGTTGTGGACCTAATGCCCCTGTCATCAGTGTGCAAATGGGTGGTGAATGATGACATTTAATGTTAAACAGTGGTCAGAAGACTAGAAGAGTGCTATACAAGTAGGGTTGCAAAATTCAGAGAATGTAAAAGTCATATAAAGTTGGAAACTTTCCATGGGAATTTACAGGAATGAACTGGAAAATTTGAGGCAATTACTTTTTCATATATGACAAAACAACAAAATAACAATCTAATTTTGAGCAGATATGCTTGCAAACATTTTTAATGACAAAGACGTTCAAAAATAACACAACGTTTTATGTTCACGTTTCTGGCAGATAATGTTCCCAACTACACTGTAACAAATTGCTGTAAATTTACGGTGGATTTTTAACAATATGTCATAATAACTGTAACATACAGTAAATTTCCATCCCTTGCTTGTAAATTAACGGCCAATGTCATGAATAAACAATTAAAGCTGTAAATTTACAATAATAGCAGACTACCGTAATTTAACTGCATGTTACATATATTTTATGAAGTGGTGGAAATACACATGCACAAGTGCAGTGAATCACAATCCATCTAGATCTTTTGTAGTTTAATGTATGAAAGCCCATGTCAGCCACTGAAAAACAGGTCCTGTAAGTCATCATAATGAGATAGTATCTCATGAGATACGATAATGACTTTGACTTACAGGACATTACTATACATGCAGCTGTCACCTTTATTCAAAACGCCCATGGTTTGACATAATTTTATGTGGAGTATTTGGGGGTTAGGTGTCTTGGTCAGGGACACTTGGCACAGGGAGCAGCCAAGATTCAATAAATTCAATAAATATTTGTATTATTCAAAGTGTTCATTGCCTAAAAGTCATTT